ACACACACACACACACTTTTTATGTTAGTGCTCGGGACAAACTGCAGTACTGAAAAGGCAAGACACCTGAGATCAGGTCCACGTAATGAAAAGTATATTAGACTGATAATCAATAAAGTTATTTTGTATATAAGACACATACATCTAATTTGATTTTAGATTACACACATTTGATTTAGGTAACACACATTAACCACCTTCTTTTGTAATGAACTCAGTCTTGACAACACAAGCATTTTGCTATTACAACACGCAACAAAAAACACCTGAAGGAGGAACTTTTTCTCCCACACTTCTTCACGTTTCTCATGCTCAAATCTATTGCAGATATCAGAATTCTGGATCTATTGGACGCAAGCTGGGTGATGTGTTGCAAAATGTCCTCCAGATTACAAAGTAAATCCAGTTGCTTTTGGCCTAATACAGGATTTGTTTTACTACCTGTACATCAGATACAACTGTAAAATTAAAACATGACATGGAGTGTCTTGGCAGAATCCACATTAGCATTCCCGCTAAACTATGTTTGTAGCAGGGAGCTCTATAGTCGCTCCAGAAACTGAAAGGCCTTACCCAGGTTTTTCAGGGCCTCTAGAATGTAGGAGAAGTGTTTGTATCGTAGGAGATAGTCCAGGGCAGACGATGTCTTGTTGCACAGTTTGTCCTCCTCCCGGATTTCAGCGGAGACTTTACGCAAACGGTGTCTCAGCTTCACCACCTTGGGATTGTCATTCAGTCGGCGGGAGCGGTGTCCTCTCCACAGAGCCTGGAGAGAGATGGAGAGGGAAAAAAAGACAAAAGAAAAACTAATTAGTTGCTAAACATTGGATCAGAGGACCATTTTATGCAAAAGGGAAGAATCTTTGTGTGGATTGAAATATTCTATGGCTTCAAACCAGTTATGTTGTTGTTATAAATTATGGTAATAACAGTAATCGAGATTCACAGCAAAAGGAAAATATTTTTTTTTCATTCACATTGGAAGCACAATAGTAAAGGATCACCTCCTTTCAAGTATGAACAGGAAGAAACCTTTCTTTAAGTATACGGAAGTCATCTCTACCAAATTCACCACTGGCTATAGTACCTGAGCTTTGACAATGCCCTGTTGAACCCTCTTCTGGCGCCTGAGAAGTAGGAATTTCCGGACGGCCTGCTGGATGACGGACGCAGCCTTGCGGCGACGAGCTAACCAGCGCTTGACAGCTCTCTGGGCTGTAACCACTTTGCTCCTGTCCTCCAAATACCGTCTCCTCTGCTGCCTCGCTCTCACCCATTGCTAGAAAAGAACAAGGAAATCATTTTGAGAAGTGTGCTTTTCATTGACTGATTGAATTAAATTCATCAGATCACTTGAGTGCTTTTCAGTGTCGTATTTACTTTTGAAAAATGGCATTGTGGGCTCTTCCTCACTGTACCTGTATTGTGATGACAGAATGGATTTGTCTTTTGGCTGACTCCAAAGCCCAGTGGGCTCTCAGAGCTCTTTGGATCTTTACGGCCTTGAGATGATGGAAGACCGCCGATGTAAAACGGAGCCTTCTCTCTGCCTTGGCTACCTCTAGTACCTGAAACACAAAAGGCATGCAAAGGATTATAAAATCAATTTTAAAAAAAGTTTTGCCTTTTTAGCCTGTTTACTACAAATCACATTTTAATATGGTCATGTCCTTTCTAGTATATTCATTTCAATTTTGTCTACCCACCAGAGATGTCAGGAAGGAAGAAAAGAAAGTTCTAGCAAACTGATCTTTAAATAAAGCTCATTACCTTTTGTCTTGCAATCCAGGCACGGCAGTGTGTCTGAAGTGTGATGGCAGCTCGCCTAGATTGGGTGTAGTTGTTCCTCTCCAACCTGCCCAGCTGCACTGCCCGCACCCTCCGCTGAAGTTTCACAGCTGCCTCCCTCTTTCTTTGGAAGATACGCCTCTGCACTGAGCATCTCCAGCATGACTGGATCACAACAGCAGCTTGATTTTGTTGACCAACGTCCCTCCTGACACACCAGCCTCTAAATGCTGCCTGAAGAATGATGGCAGAATGTCTCGCTTTTAGGAAGTTTTCCCTCTCTTTTCTTTGCAGAATACAGGAGCGATAGTATCTCTGGATGATTATGGCAGATAGACGCATGGCCTGGAATTTGACTTCCTCTTTGTGCTTTCTGAATGTAGACTGGATCGCAGTGGCAGCCTGATGCCAACGAGCAACCTCCTTTCTGACCCGCTGCCCTCTGTATGCTGACTGCACAATGATGGCTGCACTGTGCATTTCCAGGTACTGTGTTCTTTGTGCTTTAGCTGCTACAGTAGCCCGATACTTTTGCTGAATGGTGAGGACATACAATTTCAATTTCAGATACTGCTTGCGTTCAGAGTAGGCTCTGTAGGCTCTCTGGACAACACTGGCAGCCTGATGCCTTTGTTTGATGATTCTTCTGGATTTCATTGCACGAAAGGCAGCTTGTAAATTAATGACAGCTTTCCTAACCTCGTGATAATGTTTTATCTCAACATTTCTTTGTCTCTGAGCTTTAAACCTCTGCTGCAAGACACAGGCTGCCCAGCGTTGTCGCCTAAAGGCTGACTGCTGCTTATGCCTCTTGAAGTTTGCTTGAATGACAGTAGCTGCCCTATGCAGCTTGGCAATGTTGGCTCGCACACGATGACCTCTGAAAGCAGCCTGAAGAATAATGGCAGACTGTCTAGCTTTTAGGAAGTTTTTCCTTACTTTTCTTCGAAGGATACAGGCCCGATAGTATCTCTGAATTATAATGGTTGATAGACGTATCGCCTGGAATTTGACTTCCTGTTTGTGCTTTCTGAATGCAGACTGGATCACAGTGGCCGCCCAATGCCAGTGAGCCATCTCTTTCCTGACCTGCTTCCCTCTGTATGCTGCCTGAAGGAGGACTGCTGCTCTTTGCATCTTTTGGTATTTTTGCATTTGTTCCTTGGCTGCTACAGTGGCTCGATACCACCGCTGGATGGTCAGAACGGAGGATTTTAAGGTCAGATACTGCTTGTGTTCGCAGTGTGTTCTGTAAGCTCTCTGGATAACACTGGCAGCTTGGTGACTTTGTTTAATGTTCTGCCTGGATTTCATTCCCCGATATGCAGCCTGTAACACAATGGCTGCCTTTCTGCAGTTTTGGTAATGTATAGTATCAATGTTTCTTTGTCTCTTAGCTCTAAACCTCTGTTGCAGGACACAGGCTGCCCAGCAATGTCTCCTGAAAGATGACTGGTGTTTATGCCTCTTAAAGTTGGCTTGAATGACAGTAGCTGCCTTGTGCATCTTGGCAATGCTGGTTCGCACAAGATGACCTCTGAAAGCTGACTGAAGAACGATGGCAGAATGTCTTGCTTTTAGGAAGTTTTCCCTTTCTTTTCTTTGAAGAATACAGGAGCGAAAGTATCTCTGGATGATAACAGCAGACAGGCGCATGGCCTGGAACTTGACTTCCTCTCTGTGCTTTCTGAATGCAGACTGGATCGCAGTGGCAGCCTGATGCCAACGTGCGACTTCCTTTCTGACCTGCTGCCCTCTGTATGCTGCCTGAAGGACAACAGCAGAATGTCTCATTTCAAGAAACTTTTCTCTGTCTCGTTTCTGAAGAATACAGGAGCGATAGTGTCTCTGGATGATGATGGCAGACAGACGTATAGCCTGGAATTTCACCTCCTCCCTGTGCTTTCGGAATGCAGACTGGATCACAGTGGCAGCCCAATGGTACTGAGCAATCTCTCTTCTGACCTGCTGGCCTCTATATGCAGCCTGAAGAACAACAACAGCACTGCGCATTTTCTGGTATTTTTGCATTTGTTTCTTTGCTGCTACAGTGGCCCGGTACCTCCGCTGGATTGTGAGAATGGAGGATTTTAAGGTCAGATACTGCTTGTGTTCACAGTGTGTTCTGTACGCTCTCTGGATAACACTGGCAGCCTGATGCCTTTGTTTGATGATCCGTCTTGATTTCATTCCACGATATGCAGCCTGTAACACAATAGCAGCTTCCCTGCGCTGTTGATAATGTTTTATCTCAACATTTCTCTGTCTCTGAGCTCTAAACCTCTGCTGTAAGACACATGCTGCCCAGCGTTGTCTCCTAAAGGCTGACTGCTGCTTATGCCTCTTGAAGTTTGTTTGAATGACAGTAGCTGCCTTGTGCATCTTGGAAATGCTGCTTCGAACACAATGGCCTCTGTAAGCTGCCTGAAGAATAATGGTGGATTGTTTAATTTTTATGAACTTTTCCCTTACTTGCCTCTGAAGAATACAGGAGCGATAGTATCTCTGGATGATAATGGCAGACAGACGCATGGCCTGGAATTTGACTACCTCTCTGTGCTTTCTGAATACAGACTGGATGACAGTGGCAGCCTGATGGCGATGAGCAATCTCTTTCCTGACCTGCTGCCCTCTGTATGCTGCCTGAAGCAGGACTGCTGCTCTGCGTGTACACTGGTATTGTTTCATTTGTGCCTTTGCTGCTAGAGTGGCCCGATACCTCCGCTGAATGGTGAGCACAGAGGATTTCAAGGTAAGATACTGCTTGCACTCACAGTGTGCTCCGTAAGCTCTCTGGATAACACTGGCAGCCTGTTGCCTTTGTTTGATGATTCGTCTAGATTTCATTCCACGGAAGGCGGCTTGTAAGACAACAGCAGCATTTCTCTTGGCACTCAGGGCTTGCATCTCCTCTCTCATTTTCTTGTTGGCTCTGTAACGTACCTTTAATACATTGGCAGCCCAGTGGAGCTTCTTGTAGTAGGTTCTTTGCTGGTATTTTCGGAATTGAGACTGAATTGTTACAGCTGCCGTATGCTGAATGCGTATCTGCTTTCTGACCTCATGTCCTCTATAGGCAGCCTGCAGACAAATGACTGCCCTGCGCTTTACCAGATAGTCTAAATGGTCTTTTCTTGCCAGGGCCACTGCTCTGTACCTATGCTGGCAAACCAAAGCTGCTGCCTTGATAGCGAGGAACCTATTCCTATCTCGGATGGTGAGAAACTTTCTCTGAATGATTGTAGCAGCTCGGTGCATCTCTGCAATCTTCTTCCTGGACCTGTAGCCACGATATGCTGCCTGGATGAGTACAGCTGCAGATTTCATTGTTCTGTACAGCTGCATTTGTTGATCCTTGAGCATTTTGGCCCTGAAGTGCTCTTGAATAATGATGGCAGCACACTTTGTGGCAAGGTATGCCATACGCATTCTGTGCATCCTGAATTGAGCTTGGATTGCTGTGGAAGCCCTGTGCCTCTTCTTTAGGTCTTCTCTCACTCTAAATCCCCGGTAGACAGCTTGTATCTTTATAGCAGCCTGCTTTAGCACTCTGTATTCATTTTGCTGTGCCCTGCAGGCCACAAGAGCTCTGTATCGGCTTTGGATGATAATCACTGCACTTTGTATGAGAATATATCGTTTACTACATAAAAACATCCTAACTGAAGATTGGATGACAGTTGCTGCCCAGTGCTTTTTCTTCAACTCTGTTCTATCCCTTAGGCCTCTGAATCCAGCTTGGAGAGTAATACAGGCTGCTCTCCTGTGCAGGTATGCTTTCCTCATCTCCTTTCCAGCCACGTAAGCTCTGTAGCGATGCTGTATGACTACAGCAGCTGCTTTCTTGGACCTATACTCTGCTTCTGCTTTGTGCCGACGGTAGTAAGCCTGTATCAATGTTGCACACTGATGCCTCTTTTCTATCCTCTTCCTGTCGGTTCTGCCTCTCCAGTTAGCTTGTACAGTGAGTGCAGCATTCCTAAGAGCATCATAATCCTTCTTTGTCTTACGAGCCAACATTGTGGCTCTGTACTTTTGCTGTATCACAGCTGCAGCTTTTCTCAAGAGAAGGTAGCGCCTTTGGGCAGCATACCTCCTAAAAGATGCCTGGATCACTGTTGCTGCCTTGTACTGTTTTTTCAGAGATTCCCGCGCCACTTTACCACGATAAGCTGCCTGTATGGTAATGGCAGCGCATCTCATCCTCACAAACATTTGCCTTTCCACGTCTCTTTCCACAGAGGCCCTGAACCAACGCTGGATTGTGACTGTAGCACATCTCATCTTTGCTACCAGTTTTCTGGCAGCGTGCCCTCTGAAGACACTCTGAATGACAGTAGCGGAGTGGTGCTGCAGCTTCAACACCTGAAAGCAGCGCCTCTGAGCATGACCTCTATATTGGGCTTGAATGAGCAGAGTGCTTGCCTTGATCTTTCTATACTGATGGAGAGACCTCTGCATTTTATACCAAGACTGAATTCTTACAGCAGCAGCAGTTCTTTCAGCCATTTTTTCCTTGTACCATTTCTTAAACACAGCTTGTATCACCGTGGCAGCATGGTTTTCCTTTTCAGTTTTCTGGGTTTCCCATCTTCTATACCCTCTCTGTATCTTCACCGCTGCAGCTCTAAGGGAGAGATAATGCATCCGATCTCTTCTTGCAAGAGCCCATGCTCGCGAGTGCTTCTGAATTACTGCTGCCGCCCAGTAGATTCTTCCATAAGCAGAGGCTGCCCTCCTCATTCGCCATTGTGCTTGGACAACAATGGCATAGTATCTGAGACGATGGTAAGCCCTCATCGCCGAAAACATCTTCCATTGAGCCTGTAGAGACAAGATAAGAACCATTTATTCAAAGAACAATAACACAAGCAGGTTTCATTATGAAGCGAGTGTCCTTGCTGTAACATAACGTGACATTGAAACAGTCAAAAAAAGAAAAAAACAAACAAACAAAAAAAAAAAAAGGTACAATCATAGTTTGATAAGACAGCACCTAAGAATGCTGGAAAAAATACAATTTTATACTTTTTACCGTTTCTGGTCCATCGTGTAGAACACTTATATTATGTTAACAGCCCTTTTCATCCTCACATATGTAATAAACACCCACCTGGATGACAGTTGCTGCTTCATTTTGCAAAGCCCTAAGTTCAGCCTGCTTTTTCAGCTTCAGTCTGTTGCGGGCTACATAACCCCTCCAGACTGATTGGATGATACCAGCAGCTTGATTCTGCCTCTTCACTCTGCACTTCTCGAGGAATCTCCTCACAAGTAACTGGATTTTCAAAGCAGCCATGTTTCTTTCCTGTATATAAACAAAATCAAAATGTCAAATGTCAATTATCAAATCTATATTTATATTTCTTTCTAAATGCTTTTTTTCTTGTGAACACAAGATTTTCACTCATTTGATACATTCTTATTATAAAAATATTGAGTATAGGTGCTTTAAGCAAGAAGTAGATGGACTCATTTTCAGGTTTGTATACCTGATTGATACATTTTTTAATATTTAAAAAAGAAGCACAGTGGTCGACAACTTTATCACACAAATAAAACAACACAATAAAGCGTGTCACCCACGACTGCAAAACAAATGGTATAGATCAGATAAAGACTGTGCAAGACACTGAACCAACCTTGTAGAGCTGTAGATCTTTCTTTAATCTGTATTTCCTCCATGCGCCCTGTATGACCCGAGCTGCCCTGGTTTCGTTGCGCAGGTCGAGAAGACGAGCGCACAGGAAGGACAGGTAAGAGATCACAACCTGGAAATAAACAAATGTGGATGAAGGAAGAGGTTAAGCCAGTCGGTCTGGACACCAATCATCAGACATCCTGGGGTTGTTTTAGTATAAATCTTTCCCACCCCCACATACAGTATTTTAAAAGATTTAATGATGGATTTGAGCAATAGGGGTTTGCACAAAAATCAGGTGTAAACCATGATTACATTATCCTATAAAAAATATTAAGTGATTTTTTTCATGTTTGGAAAGACAGATATACAAAACATTATAGAAGAATTGACTGAGAAATACTGGGCCGATACAGATGTTTAAACAATGTCGATCCCAATGTTTTTTTTGTTGCTATTTATTCAGCCTTTAGTGCCAAGAAAACAAAGGAATCTACAAAAATGAGCATCACTGCCTTATTGCAGCTCAGTCTATTTCACTTCTCATCCGAAATAATGCAGAGCTTAACAGCCGCTCAGCATCCAATTTGTGCCAGAGCTGGAATCCAATATCCCCCAAAAATTAAATTGCTGCTGCAGAGGGTAAAGAAAACCTTCAGTTTGGTCTCACCTTCTCATTGGGAATGGTGTTGGACATGTCAGCTGGGTTGATCATGGCGGGGACCCCACCCAGGAAAGACACAGCAGAGTTCACCATTCTGAAGTTGTTTTTCTCATTCTCCAGCAGCTCTTTAAATTCCACTGATGGAGAATCTGGGCCTATTCACAAAAAAAATAAAAAATATTTAGTCACAACTCAGTTACTGTCTCCTAAATCTCTTCACAATCTTGTTTAAAAGTCGCACATACAAGTTTAAAAACACACATTGAACTTTTAAGCCGTGACATGCTGCCACATGCCTTTTTTAAACTTATGTAACTAGAATTATAAATATATTTGTTTAAAATAATATTATGCTTGAAAATGGGCAGAAATTTGCCACAAATTAAATCCTTTTTTTTTTCTCAATGAATTTCAAAATGTCTCTCAGTGGACTATAAAAACTTGGAAAACTCTTCCAGGGTTTCCACTCTTCCTACCTTTTCAATTAATATTTGTTACCAATAAACAGCCTAGATTTCTGTAGATGAAGCCAACTTAAGATCCCTAACTAATGCAACTATTGTATGAAACACGCAATGCAACAAATTGTGGCTTATTCCTGTGTCAGCATTTGTAGATTTCTTTTCCATCCTCAGACGTCTTATCAGACTGTTTTCCAAACTCTAATGCTCCACGAACGTCTGTGTGATGTACACACATCCACGTGCATTCAGACAGAATATTGCATTGAAGACACAGTACACAGAAGACAAGTACCGTTCAGGCCCGCTGGCAAGGTGTCAAAGGAGTTGTCGGAGTCGCTGGCTGAGCAGTCGAGCTCCAGGCGGCCCCTCTGTGAACACTCCACGGTCTGAGTGGTGCTTTGACTGACAGCCTTCTCTGGCAGGAGACTGGGGTGGTAGTGGTGGATAAGGTAGCAGAGGACGCGGCCATCCGAGAACGTCACAGTGAAGTTCTCCACCTGCACAGATAAGACAACACACTTCATTTACTGTTTTCTTAAAGGACATGTGAGGGCATTTGAGAGCATTTGAGACTGAGACAGTAATGTTATGTTGCTATAAAAATAAGATTTAAAACAGTGAAACTATTGTTGGTGGTAGACAAGAGCACACAGGTTGTGCTGTGATGAGGCCAGGTCAGATATACAGTGAATATAAAACAGGAACTCTCTCATATTAGTCCCATAATAATAATAATTACAAATTGGAAGTTGTTGACAGCAACTACCTGACTTTATTGGCAATTTTTTAGTTTGTTGGATATTTTTGGCTCAGCGTGAAATGTCTCAGCAACTATCATCTGTCAAGACAAAGTCTAAGCTGATTGTACCAGCCCATGTAGGGGCTATTTCAAACCAAACACTAAAGTTTATCTTTTAACTCTTGAAAGTGGTTTGATGTAAAACAACAACCAAAGACATAGCACTAAAGGCTACAAAGGAAAACCAGTTCAATAAATCAAATGACAAAGTACAACACTGCATCCTACCTAACAAGACAGCATGAAATCATAACCAATATAACCAATTTAACCCCAAAAAATCGAAGTGTTTTCTTTTGCCTGAGAGCTGAAAGTAAAAAAAACTCAAACTCGCCTTGAGATTGTAGAAGTCACACACAGCTCGAGCCCAGTCCATCAGCAGGGTAACCTTAGTGCTGCTGTGTTCATACGCCGCCCTGGTCTTCACAGGACTCGGCTGAAGGCCCCGATCAGCCCTCAGAGACATCAGCCTCTGCTTGGTCCTCAAGGTTCTCTTCAGGAAGTAAATTTCCTCCCTCAGCTGATCCTCGTCCAAAATCACCTCCACCTTAACAGATTATTTGATAGCAGCATATCAATCTTTTCTTTCCACAGCTTTAAAAAAATGACTGAATGAGAATGTTGTTAACTATCAATTGGAAATAAGGCCGGATACGCACATGGAACACAAAGATGATTTTCCACAAGAGGCTCAGTGTCTTCTCCCTGTGTCCGTCCACAACGTCTCTGGAATCGATGATGGAGCCTGAAAATAAAGAGACAAAGCTTAAATAACTGATGTGGTTAATTATTATTAATTATTTATTAGGCAAAAACAGCAAACCTTTGTTTGTTCTTGTCAAACATCTGTATTTTCTGCTTTTTAATAGCTTTGGTTTTGACCCTATGATTTTGAATTTGGAGAACATCAAGCTTTTGAAATTAGTGATTTTTGTGACTTTTCACAATTTCACCAACAATAATAACTGTCAATAATTGTTTTACCTGTTTAGACATTAAAACACAGGTATTACTGAAGACATTTCTTGATTTAAATAGTCAGTTTAAAGCATTGTCTTTGATTTGATAAAGCCAGCAAAGTTATTGTGCTTACTTTACTAAGTTCTTTTATGTGTTGAAATCGTACCTTTCAACCTGGGCTGCTTAGTCACTCTGACATATGTTCACTTATGCAGAAGTGCACAGGCACAAACAATACTGTCACCAAAGGTTTGCACACACACATCCAACACGTCATAAAGGGCAAAGCAATCCAATTCTGTTGCTGTGCAGCTGTTTGTGATCAAACAAAAGGTGTGCAGTGAAATGGCAGGTGTTCATGCTTGTGTGAAGCAATATAGTAAATGAACAATGTCCATAAAAATGCCACAGTGGTGGAAAATACAGCCTAGTATGTAAGCCAAATGAATATGTAACACTTCTGTGAAAGAAAACATCACACAGAACTTAAAAAACCCCACTGAATCTCATTTTGTGGAGGCCAAACACTCTTTCAGGTTCACAGTCTCACAGTTTTGCAGTTTGCTCTGGGAGAAAAATCTTAATTACCATGTTCATCCTTGAGGTCGACCCCTTTGCTTTTGAGCACTTGCAACGCCATGTCGACGTTGTGGATCTTCTGCAGGCGGCTGATGGCTGGCAGACGGAGCTTGGCCGACAAACTCCAGTCCTGGACGAGGAGCTCCATCACTCGCCTGGAAGCAAGCCACACATGGAAAACACACTTCATAAAGGTGATGCATAAGAATCTTTGTAAACCTCTACATCTTACGTGCTTGTTGCTCTGGCACTTTCTCACTCATCGTTCTGATGATTCTGGCATCTCCCTTATACTGTAGAGTCAAATAGCGCTGATGGTTTGAGATGCTCAGATCTCAAATTACCACAATCTACATCATAATAGACAACTACACAGGAAGCAACTTTAGAAAAACAACTACTTAACTAAACTACTTAACACTTAATATATTTCACCTTTTGATACAAAGAATAGCCATAATAAAATCCAGTATCATTTAATTACTGCATGTTTCAGGGTAACTTCTGTTGGTGGCTTGGCTTTGAGTGTAACTACCTTTAAAAAAAAGATATATGGTGTCATATTCCCCAACATGATCCACCTAAGAACTATACATCAGTGATCCAAAGATCTTCTAGAAATGGTTCCAGTGCTTTCCAAAGCTGTGTGGCGTAGAGCCCAACAACCATGTAAGCCTGCAGACACCCAGTGTGGTACAAAAAGAACTGCACCACGTCTGAGTATATTTGACCGTTAAGTCTGCCTTTTTCCTGATCATGCTGTTCTTTTGATTCTTTTCACCTTAAAATGCTGTGCGAGGCCTTTTCACACTTAATCATCTTAAAGCCAGAGGAAGACCCATTTAGAAGGAGTCCACAATAAGTCAAAGAATACTAGGGAGATTTACTCTGCAACTATCTGCTGAGTCTTTACCATTACATTTTACAACCGGCATTTCTGTGCATTAAAAAGGAGTAAATGCACAAACAAATAAATTAAAAAAAACTTCAAGAAAGACACACACAGACACACAGTTGAAGTATGATCAGTGAGCAATACTGATACATCGGCAGGGCTGTTAAAAGAGCATGCTTTGGTGAGAATCTGTAGAGGGAAATCCTGGACTATAACAGTTCTGCTGCTGAGTCCTGAACAGCTGCAGGGATACTGCCGTGTAGCTGAGCCTGACCTCTGAGAAAAGCAAACATCCCAACGGGGATCAGAGCATCACATTAAAATTCATGACGTTTCACTCACACTAGACGAATGCCGCATTTCAAGTCAACTGCCAAATTCTTCACAGCGAAGTTGAACTCGTCCAGGGGCGTCTGAACGTGGGAGACGGGTAACCCGAGGTAGCCGAGGTGCCGGGGGAGGATCCCCTCTCCGCTCAGGAAGTCCCTGGAGAAGGCCAGGAGCAGGTCTTTGGTTGTCTGTAAAAGAAAAGAAAAGAAAAAAACAAGAAGCATGCAACATGGAAGAGGTTAATGCAACACACAAATATCTAATGAGAGGAACCACAGTAATAAATATGCAATGTGAAAAAGTTTTCATCATTAAGCTGAACGATGGTTAAAATTCAGAAAACATGATAGTGGAGAATGTGGGGTTTACATATGGATGGTTCTGAGGTCTGTGATCCCCTGTATTAAAATACACACCCTTGACTGATACAAGGGCAGATAGCCTCACATTTGTTATTTATTCTTGTTTAAAAGCTACAAAAACAGGCCTAAGAGAATTTCATAAATAACTCGACACTATGGCCATGTCTTATAAATCTGAGTCGATATGTATAAAGCTGTTTGAAGTACGACTTGGTGCATCAAAATTCTAAGAATGACATAATTTTGCTCTTATTCTTAGAACTGAGAATAAGCGGCATGCATAAAATGTTCTGCTTTCACACCTAACCTGTTTGGTTTGGTTAAAACGAACCCTGATGTGTTTGACTGGTTAGTACAGTTCCTTTGGGATGGGACGAAAGCTGTTAAACGCTGGTGCGTTAGTGTGACCAACCAAGTGTTGGTCTCGGCTTGCAAATTATTTAAGGGGTAGCTTAAGGTAGTCAAATAAGAACTGCAGTCATTCACAGTCATACAACACTGTATGATGCAGATAGACTAATCTGCTGACAGCACAGAAACACAGACACTTGTCACAAACAGTTAAACCCTGATGGAGCAATCGGTCTACTTAACTTTTCTAAAATCCATTCATCCATTTACCTGACTTTGATAGCTTTTATATCTTATATTTATGTTAAATAATAAAAAAAAATGTCCTCTCAATTTTGGCATAAACAGCCTCAGGTCAGAATAATGACATCAAGATAGATCTGAGACAAGATACAAATACTTAAATTATATAAAAGACTAACTAACAAAAATTTACATTACCAAATTTATAATTTGTCTTTTTAATATGGCTTTAGTGGGACAGTGACTGGCCTACCTTGAACTCTGCATCCAGGCAGAACAGACAGGGGTTGTGCTCAATCAGCCTGGACTCTTTGGCTTTGTCCAGGAAACACACCAGCAGGAGCAGCTTCTTCAGAGTAAAGCGAGACAGCGCCTCCTCGTGGCCTAACCAAGGAAAGAGATGTCGACATATGTTTTGTTATACTACAGAAGGAAATTCTCATCGGTTTTCATTTATTCCCTTATTTGACAGAGTTAAAAAGGACCACAATAGCTATCCTTTGAAAAATGTGTGCTCCAGCTTCTTAAAAGTGCAGATTTGCTGTTTTATACCATTGTAAATTCCCCAATGTTTGAGTTTTGGACTACTGATTGGTCAAAACAAGACATTTGTCACCTCAGACTCCTGGTAAAGTTTTTTTTTACAATTCTAGACTGCATCAGATCAGCTTTGACATTTAAAGGTGAGACATTCATTAATTTTTGAGTCTCAGTCCTAGGCCCTTCTAAGCCTCTATGAGACTACATGCTCCTTTTGGAGATAAAAAATTAAAATGTCAGGACAGTGTTTCAGTTCAACTCAGACCCAAGTTGTTAATAATTACCGTATTTTGCATCATAAGGGGTGTATATCTATATGTCTGCTTAGGATATGGCATAAGAGGTTTATGTTTCGGCTTGTGTGGGAAATGTGAAACACAACCTGAGCTGACAACCGGCTCAATATCCCTTTAATTACTTTGGAGTAAAATATACTAATACCCAAGGGAAGTCTCCACCACCAAAAAGTAAATTTTTTTGCAACCTTAAACAGTGACACAGCACAGTCACTAGATCACACGACCCAATAACCGACACTCTTACATTACCTTCTTTGTAAAGGTTAGGCACTTTGGCGTGTCTGTATTGCGCAGCGATGTCTGGGTTCCAGAGCAGCCGCTGGAGGACGAACATAGCCAGACCTAACGCATCACTGTTGCTTTCCAGTGAGATCAGCTCCCCGTAGATCGTCTGCAATTAGCAAGCAGAGCATGGATAGTGAGGAAACTAACAACATTATTTAGAAAAACAAATGTTAAAAAGTAGAAGAAAACAGTAGAATATCAGAATACCTCAAGCCCAATCCGTAACCACAGTGGATTGTATGAAAGAAGCCAGTTGAGGACTTTTCGGCGTTCACCTAAAAAGATGAGGAAAGACGAGAAAACTTTCAGACTTATCCGGGGTTTGATATGAACTTAAGAGCATTAAAAAACAACTTCACGCAGGTTTCACAATGGACTGTTCATTTACCAATGTCCTTCCAAAGATGGCGGTCTTTGCGGACGAGCAGCCTCTTGGCCTCCACCTCCAGTTCGAGCCTCTGAATAGCCTTGACCATGGCCTCAGATGTGAACAGCTGGCAGGCAGAACGACGGAGGCGGTTTAGCTTCCTTCGGGCCGTGTAGGTGCTAAAAGACATCTCCTCTCTGGTGGGAGCTTTGGGGACACTATACTTGTCATTGCTGCCCATGACAATGGATACAGCATTCACTACACAAGACACAAACGGAAAAAAGGCCATGTTTGAGATTTTTACAGACTTCTACAGTCCCTTGTACAAACACGAAGAGCTTAGAAACTCATTTATTGTTCAGACTCTACAGTAGTGAAACCCTGCAGAATGCCTGAATGGATGTTACCTTTAGCGACTTCAGTGTTGACTTTAAAGTCATCTGGGGTGAGGACGTAGTTGATCCACCATGTGAATCCCCTCTCCTGCTTCTCAATCCACCTCTCATCATAGAACATGTTCTTGGCAGCAAACGGCATCGGGTGTCTCGGTATGGCTGCAAGAAGAGCAGAGCAGAAAATAAAATAAAAGGTATAAGATAAACAAAAGCAAAATGCACATTAACGCACCACAAAAAGCTCATGTCACAATATTTTACCATCAAATACCTGTTTGCGCTGGTTTAACAAAGGTCAGTTTTGACTGTGCTACAGCAACAATTTTTGCCGTCTTCACAGATTGAGCACCAAACGACTTTAGAGACAGGGCACCTGTGAGCAATTAAAAAAGGCATTGTGCATTTCATTACAAATAAGTTTTGAAAATAAATCTGATATGAACAGCAGTTTATACATTTTAACACAAGAACAGCAAAGAACTCTCATTTGAGGGGTATTCTCCTTCAGAAGGCAATTAAACATCACTTTATACCTCTTGAGGTGAGTTTGGAGCTTGATTGCTTTGCCTGGGCAGGAACCGCAGGCCGTGCAGTTTTTAGAGATGATGAAGTCATGGAGCGCACCGAGCCTGGGGAGGGGGGGTGGGGGGTGTAAAGCACTATAGTAAATACAGAGTGTTAAGAAATAAGGCAGATGTTTAAAAAAGGTCCAGTGTGTAGGATTTAGTAGCATCTAGCGTGTAGTTGCAGATTACATTCACCCTTTTAGGTGTAGAGGAGAAAACATGGTGATTGTGAAACGTGCAACAACAGCCCTATCTAGAGTCAGTGTTTGTCTGTTTTGGGCTACTGTAGAAACACGGTGGCTCAACATTGCAGCCTCCATGGAGGTGGACCCACTCCCTTTGTAGATAAAACAGCTCATTCTATGGTAACAAAAACAATTATTCTAATTTTTATATTATAAACTAATGAAAACATAGTTGTGCTTATTATATTCAATTTCTGCTAATAGACCCTCCTAAATGTTACACAGTGGACCTTTAAGAAGAAACCATCATAACATCCAGCATAAATATTTCACATTTGCTCACCTGCTGTTCTCAGCTGTTGCCTCTGTGATGCACTTCTCCTCTCCTGGACCGATCTTGGGGGCTCAGTTTTTCCTGTTACCACCCTGGTCCTTTTGACACGCTCCGTTTTCGCGGCATCCTCCACCTTCCCGTCACTTTTTAGATACTCCTCACTCTTCCTCTTCTTGCTCTTCACGGCCATGTAAATGGGAAACGAGTCTTCCTGAATGGGCGGAGGTGCGGGAACAGCTGGAGACAGCTCATACACACTGGGGTTTGATGTGAGGTTGAGGTGAAGAGGAGAAGATGATCCCAAAGGCAATGGAGAGGTGGCAGAAAAAACAATGGGAGCAGCGAGTGTAGGAGGAGGGGAAGTGGCTGAGAAAGAGAAGCGGGCAGGAGCAATAGATGGAGGTGAGCTGTCGAGCTGTGGAGTGAAGCTGGAGGACATAAACTCCTGGGCTTGATGTCTGTCGTCACACAGGGAGTTTGCAGCGTGAGGGTTTTGCCATCCCTTGATCCCTGTGTCTGGGTCTATAACAGGCAGGCTTGGAGTGTCTGGTCCAGACTCACACTGACTGCTGCCATCAGACAGCTCAAGTGTTTTCTCTAAGAGCCTCCGCCTTGACTTCTTTATTTTCCTTCCACTCGAACTGTTTGCCTCCACGGGTGCTTTGCTCTTGGTCACTGTAGCAGAGGTAAAAGAGGCCTTTTTGACCCTTTCCGTAGCCTTATCCGCCTCTGAGACAACAACCCCACTCACAGCAGTCTTGCTGACGAAGAAAGTAAGTCTTGGCTCGTTGAACTCAGACCCCAGTGGGCTATCGGGTAAAGCTCTGAGGAGGTTTTGGTCAGGTCCACGGTCACGATTCCCACTCTTGGATTCCAGCGAATCTGAAAAGCCACAGCTCGAACTAGTGTCTCGAGGACTGGTGTTCATGTGGCTCAGATCAGAGTCAATGAGGGCCAGTGCATCTTTCAAAGAGAGAACTGGGGATCCAGTTAACACACTATCACCACCATCAGCACCAGCCACAGACTTTACAGTAGCAGAAAGTGGGCTGTCTGACTGAATGTGAGGCATGAGCTTCCTAAACATCTCTGGCGTCCCAATAGGAGACAGCGTCCGGTTGAGCATCTTGGTAAGATCTTTGTTTTCCGGTTTGCCCGCCAAAGCATCTGGGCTCGCAGACATGTTGCCAGAGTCCATCAGCTTTCCGGCTGGGACAAGTAGGACAAGAGGACAGTTCCTCTGAACATGATGGATATTCTCCTGGTCTGATGAGACCAGAGACCGTTGCCTCAAGGTGGAATTCAAGGCCTTCTGCTCCTCTGATTTCTGAGGGTAATCGTCAACAGGACTGTGCTTCGAGAGGGACCTCTCTCTGACCGCTTTGCCCTCGTTGAGAGAAACAAGTGGGCTGCGGGGCTTATCCCGTTTGTACTGAGGCTTTCTGGACACCTGGAAGGTTTTATTGGCTGCCATCTTCAGTGGTTGATCTGTTTTCTTTCTCCTGGGTGCAGCTACTTTCGCACCTTCTCTTTTGTTTTTGATTGTGTCCCATAAGCTTTTCTGAAACACAAAAGAAAAGCATGTAAATGACCGTATTAGGATAAGATGTACCTTTATTGATCCCCTGTAGGAGAAATTCAAATTAGTCACAGCAGCATAGGGGAAAGTATTGAGTAAGAGTACAGAAGTGAAAGTACAATAAGAATCACAAAATAAGAATATTACACAATATAATAGAAAATATAGACTATAAATGAAAAGTATATACACTATCTGCAATATGCAAGTAAAATGGTGTGCAAAATATTTTGAGCAGCTTTGACTAAAAAACTAAACTGTACATGCACTGCAACCTAAATATAAATAGTTTGTGCTTAGATGTTAAAGTTCCCTGATAACATTTGAATGAAAACTGCATAACCACACCTTTGAGAACTAAAACATATTAGACCTGAATTTAGGACCGCAACAGATTAACATTTTTATAATGTATTAATCTATTGTGCTAATTACACTCACAATTAATCTCTTTGGCTATATACCATCATACAACAGTTAAAAAATACCCATCACAATTTCCAACATCCAACAAATTGTCCAAAAACAAAAAACTGCACATTTTCATCTTTAAAAAGATCCTTGTTCATTTTTAAATTTAAAATAACGACTTCCTTAATTACCAAACTAGTTGCCAACTTATTTTCTGTGAATCCTACTAATGGCTGCGGCTCTGTCAGAATCAAATATCTGAACGTAGTCTCTTTATTCAGCTGAGGATATTTACCTTTTTCCTTTTCGGTGCCTCTGCTCTCCCCAGCAGAACAGCCTGGTGCTTGAGGACCCCATTGGCATTGAAGATGATGAGCTCTCTGATTCCACCTTCCTCTGATGGAGTCCAGGTTACTGTCAAACTGAATGACCCCTCAGGCTGCAAACACAAAGCACAAGCAAAGATGTGGTCCAGCTGCAGTTTTACAGTGGATGAAAGGAGGTGCAGTAGGAAGTGGATATTGATTGCTGTGGCATAATAAAGCTCCTGGGCATAGTAATTGGCCCACAGGCTCTGAATTAGGTGTGAATTGTTTGCCTTCATGCATAGAAATATACATACCTGAATCGTGAACGTGTTGTGGTCCACAGAAAAGCCTTTACTTGAGGGGATCTTTTCGACAGTAACCTCGGCCTCTGCATCCTCTGTAGGGTTCTCAATTCGCAGAACAGCCGATTTGGAGGATCCCAACTTTACCGATCCAAACGTCACAAAAGGAGCCTTGGAAAACTGGATCAAACTCAAAATCGGAACATCATTCTCCTTGTTGGCGTCCTCTCTCTTTACTGGACTGAAGTCCAAAACTCCTCTCCGCGATGAAGTTGCCGCTTCAGCCATGTTAAATGGAAGAATAACAGCAGCTAAATAGCCAGTAACATGTTGCGAAGTTAGTTAAAACGTTCAGCAATCCATGTGCGCTGCTATTACTACTAGTTCTGCCCCTGAAGCAAACGTTAAAACACGCTTCCTCCCACAACACACTGACGATCTGGTTTGAAATCGGTTGTGTTGTTTAATCAGCCAATGACAGGCGAGGGAGGGCAACCTCTTGTCCAATGGGGAGAGAGAACAGATCGAATCCGTATGAATACACAGCTGTCGACCAATCAGTGAACGACTACATTTTTTTAAACTGCCTTAAGCCACGCCCATGATCTGAGAAGCTAAAAACGAAGATGTATCACTCTGATCTTATGTTACGACACCACGAAATAAAAATGACTAATTTACTCTCTTATATATTTTTTTTAAATTTCTTCTAATTCGAAAATAATTTTAATAAACAGAACTAAAGTGTAACTGTTTAAAATTTCCGTGAAGTAGAGCACACGAGTTGTTTATATATCTCCTCTAAACCAGATATGGGTCCGACGTTTTCCTACAGAGTGATCCATCTGTCGGTGTGTGCGATCTCTACTTCAACGTGCACGTTGACGCTCACTCGGGTTTAATTCTGTGTTTGACATAAATAATAACTTCATTTTGTGTCTGAATATGAAAATTAACGTTGGATCATTTTTAATCGGGACATGTCACAGAACTAAACCTGTGCACTGTTAGAGAAGTCAAGTATCTTCGTAGAAATCACGTTTGTATCACCCGATCGACAGCTCGCCGTGATCGTATAGAGGTTAGTACTCTGCGTTGTGGCCGCAGCAACCCCGGTTCGAATCCGGGTCACGGCATCGGCAGTCCTTTTAAGGAGAATACACAGGTTTTCTTGAGAATAAAAAGTAGGACAAACACACAAATTACAAAAATGAACTTGCGGGATTGGTCGGATCTGCAAACGATGATTAGCGCAAACGCACGATAAAAAGTGACATTGTAAAACAGAAGCCTTCCCTTCCCCAAGAAACCCCCCATTATTTCCAATTACTGCTGCTTTATACTTCTGCTCCACTGCAGATAGAATAGATACAAGATAGAGATAGGATAGGATAAGAAGAGATAGAAGATAGATAGAAGATAATAGATAACAGGAGGAGGGAGAGGATAAACATAGATAAGCCGGAGTAACCCAAAAAGTAGTGAAAGATAAGATACATAGATAAGGAGATAGGATACGATAGAGCGAGTGTTTGAGGTGGTAAAGGTCCCAAAGGAAAAATTGGAGAGGCGTAACCATAGGGGGCAGCCCGGTACCAGATTTTAAGAACCAACTAAAATGACAACAACAGAACCAAAATACTGAGGTAGAAAAAGATAGAATTATCCAGTTTTCATTCAGAGGAAATTGTACTTTTTATTCCTAACCTACATTTATGTGACAACTGTAGTGTGCAATTATGCTGCCTTTTCAACTGCATATGAAAGTACACTGCACGCAACCAAAGCAATGCATCAATCCATACCTTATAATCCCCCCAGTAAAGGAAATTTAGAACCATTATTCAACGCCCAGTCCACACTGCGTATAGGTACGAGTGTTGCAAGCTCCGCGTAGGCTATGGGACAGTTTAGAACCCAGCCCAATTCAAGTTAAAAAAGCAATCCAACCTTCTAAAACCCTACGATGAGCACTTTTCCCCAGGGAGCCAAAATGATATTACCCTATACGAAGGAAGATGCAATATAGTTAAAGAAAAGAAACATGGAATGGCACACATGTAAAACAAAGGGTTGAACAATTTGAAGTGGCCTTTGCCATGCCCAGAGTAGTCGG